TGTACAAATTAACCGAGATGTAGGCAATAACTTATTTGTACTTATAACACATAACATCACGCCTTTTATCCCCGAAGAGGTAGGCAGAGGTGCACATTATGCCACTGTACAATGTAACACCCACTTTTCACTATTTATGTTATGAGTCCCATGTAATAGGGGGTGAGCCTATTGCCATATACCGGGCACAATTCCAGACTCCGTGCTACTACTGAGAATTTTGTAAAAACCCAGTAATACTTTGCCCGACCCGGGAATCGAACCCGAGACCCCTTGCCCGGCACGAAGGGTGGGATGCCGTCTCCTCCTTTTGCGAAGCAGTCATGCTAGCTAAGGAGGAGGCGGGACGCGTGAGGCAGCGAAGCGCTGCCTCCTCGCAACCCAGCCATCGCGAAGGACACACCGGGCGTCGGGGATCGCGGGACGATCTCCGGCCACCGTAAGCGCGGGCCTGCGGACGGCGAGCATGGGTGGCTCCCCGTCCGACCAGAAACAGACCCGAGCGTACGGCGCGTCGCGTTCCGCGCGCGCCTCAAAGAGCCATCAGACCACCACAGATGGGGCCCAATAGGGCCGATGCCGATTCGGAGTCGCGGAGAACCTAACGGGTAACCGGGGCTCCGGCTCGACGTGCAGGAGAAGGAACGGGGTGGTTTTTAGTCAGTAAGAGTCTGACACTCCCTCCCGCCTCACCCAGGCGGGAGCAGTCATTCGATGATTTTCCCCCCTTAAAAAAAAAAAAAATCTGTAAGATACACATGACACTCCCTCTGGGCGGGAGAAGTAATTCGATAATTTTTCCCCCCTCAAAAAGGCGACGTCATTTGTTTTTATTCACAAAAGTCATTCTAAATAACATAATTTTACACCATTAATTCCTTAAGAAGTGCTCACCCCACGTACTTTGTTACCAGTCTTTACGGATTTCAAAAAAAGGAGGAGGTACTATATTCAGCTGAATGTTTTTTTTTTGTTTGGTCGCGCAGTACCCCGCGATTTGTGAACCTATTTCTAAAATTCTTGTTTTGTTTGAAATGTAATACTGCCGAGAGGGTCCCATTTTCATGAGGTCAGGATCTGATGATGGAATCCTACGGAAACCGAGGGTAATGAAAATTTAAACGAGGTTTCGAAAATGGTAAGGGCGAGTAATGCGTCTATTATTTTTTCAATAAGGATTTATGAGCACTACAATTTGATAACCAAGGGTCTGGAGTCTATCAGAGGATGGAGCCGGCAGACAGTGGAGGAAACTCCTTAATGGGTTATATTAACTACCTTGTGTTTGAGTCTGATAAATGTGTACCTATTGATATGAACTTTACACCTAGATGGAGTGGAACTACCATTAAGGGTCGGATGATGAAGAAGTGTAATTGTTAAAGTAACTCTTCAACGGTTTATAGTAAACATTATTTCGTTCCAGGCGTTACCACTGAAGTTTCTTGACGACCTGTCAGCTATCTGCAAGCGTCACAATATCCCGCTGTACATGGATGGCGCTCGGCTGTTCAACGCCTGCGAGTACCTGAAGGAGGACCCCAGCAGAGTCGTAAGGGATTGTGACAGCGTATCCGTCTGCTTCAACAAGGGTCTGTCAGCCCCTGTCGGCTCCGGACTCATTGGTTCTTATCATTTTATTGAACAGTAAGTTTATACATTTCTTTTCGGTTTTTGCTGTTATTCACGCTAAAAAAAAAATATTGGGTAAGCACCAACAGGGAAACAAGAATAGTGCCTACCTACCTACAGAAAGAAAAGTAGACACCTACCTAAGTAATAACATTTTTGTCAAACGTCTGAATCATGCAGTTTTCGGCATTAAGTAAGTTGCCATGTCACCTATGTGATAATTATGATTCATATGCAAATCGCAAACACTTTATTAATCGTTTGATAGGCCGCGTCATGAAAAGCGATTGACAAATCTAAAGAAAAGTTACAGTTGGTAATGCCTACACATTATCTTGCCTCTACTAATTTATTCAACACGTGTCTATATAGGTAGGTGTATTGATCTATGTTTACGAAGTGTCAGAAATTATCATCATCATCACTCCTGATTAAAGGCTTCTCTTCTATCTTTTTAACCTTCTATGTATTTATGTTTGTGCACCATTATCTCACGATTAGGTGAACCGATTTTGATCTATTTTTATAAAAGTGTTTGTTACAATTAAGAGAAGGTTTTAGTATATTAATTGAATGACTAAACGTGATCTATAAAAGAAGTATAATTATCATCCTCAGAGCGCGTCGCATGCGCAAGATGCTTGGCGGTGGGATGAGCCAGGCTGGAGTTCTGGCTGCCGCCGCTATTGTAGCTTTGGACGAAGTCATGCCGCAGCTCAAGCTTGACCATAAGCGGGCGAATACCATGGCTGAAGGTTACTTGTTAATACTTCATTACATACATAAATTATTTTATCATAATTATATTATGAGAATTGAAATTAAGTGGCGGTTGAAGGCTTCAGAAAGGTACATCAGGTATTAGGGCTCGTACACAAAACTGCGATGCGACATCGCAACGCATTGCTTACCATCAGGTGATCCGTCTGCTCGTTTACCGGCTTATGCCATAAAAAAAAGTACGGTTGACGGTCGTCGAAGAAATAGTCACCCTGGGAGACGCCTTGTCGCACGAAATCGCATCGCAGCAATTCGTATCGTATCGCATCGCAGTTTTGTGTACAAGCCCTCAGTCCTTACCTACATGCCTTATTTTGCTGCCTCCATATCTGAACACCCAGTCATACACATATTATAATAGATATACTCGTGCACACACTGATTTCATAGGCACTGTGTAGTTTTATTTCCACAGTAGTTGCAGTAGGTTTTCCTTAAAGGATGTCATCATGCCAGGTGAGTCGAAGTCCTTAATTGGTCCTAAACCAATTTTAGTTTAGTTACGTACTGACTGGCTTCGGATCGGAGAACAGAATACCTATTCTATGTAGGTATTTTTTTCTAATATGAATCACCTTTATAACAGCTAGAAGAGTTAGTTTGAATCTCTAGTTAAAATATCATTTTAATATTCTAGTTATTGAGGGTTTGTGCCTGAAGTCTTTCATCGTGGAGGGCCAGCACAGCAATATAATCCTCGTGAGGATCCCGGAGACCAGCTCACTAACCACACAGAAGGTGGTGGCGAGGCTTGCACAGGTCTACCTCGCGGAGACACAGGTATGTGAGAATATAATATGGACCACATGTAGTGGGATTAATTAGGTAAAGTTGTTCTGAAATGTTTAGGGATATTACTTTGTATTAAAAACTCATCTTTGTAGGTACCATTTATTTTACAGAATGTTTCATAGATCCACGTTTTCTCCAAAATAAAAAAACTTGTTATAATTTTACAGGGCGACTGTAAAACACCAAACGACGAGGGTGTAATTGTGAAAGCAACATACTTCGACAGTAAGACGTTGAGGTTCACCATACACCGAGAGATCAACGACGAAGCTCTCTGGCTGGCCATCATGAAGATCACATACGTGTTCAAGGAGTTAGATGCAACAGCTTAGGAACGGTAGCTAACCACGTGAGACGTTAGGCGAACAGTAGTTTCAAAGATTTCTTGCGCTTGGTAGATGGCGCTAGCAATGTTTAACCCTTTGAGTACCGTCATTATAGACACATTTAAAGAACAACGGTTTAATGTCCTGTTAGTCCATCCATAAGTAAATAGCATCCATAATAAGTAAATGTTCGCCTATGATGCTATATAAAACTTCATTTAACTGATGACTATTACTGGTACCACCTACCTACCTTGATTTCTTAATATTTTCATCAGTAGTATGGGTTGCAAACTTATTGGTATAACTAAGTTACAAACACGATTAGAAAAACTTATTGCGAAGCAATAGATTATTTTTGTTTACCAAACAACTGTCAAACGTTTAAAAGTCCCACGTGCACCATTTGGTAAAAATCTGTTCATTTGAAATGAGTCAATATATGAAACGTTAATTTATGAATGAGCTCAATATACCTATTATTTACAAGTAATTTTAAGAGACATTATATATGTGTACAACAGGTGCTAAGTAATTGTATTTACTAGATAGGCTGTACCTAGATGAAGAGGATAATATTTATACTGGCAAGATTTTTTATATCTACCTAAAAAGATAAGCATATACATTCTACAATAGAAGTTTGCCTGTTTTAATGAAAGGTTCAATCGCAAATCATAGACGAATTAATTATTCATTCTACCTTGAACAAACCCAAGACGTAATCGTAGACTAGTTAATATTTATAGGGATGGCCTGTATTAGGTTTCTATTTTTTTAACAACGTAATATTTCTGTTATTAACGTTGTTATTATTATGTTGTATGCAATTTACCATTGTTATTAAAATTATAAATAAATGATGTTACCTTTGACATACTAATGACTTAAATAAAAATACAGTTTTTATATACTTAAGTACAGCGTTTTATTTACAACAGTGGTAATCAGTCGAATAATCGTTGTCTATACCTAGGATACGAGATTCTGACGTCAAAAATAATTTATTGTCCAAAGACAAATCCAAAGATTAAAACATATTCAACATTCATTATTGAACTTAATAGCGTTAACGGGCGTGATCGAGTGTCAGACACGCTGACTAAAACAATCCTGTGCCAACTCCCGTCCCGAGCCGGGCCTGGTAACTTGCTGTGCATTACCCACAACAACCCCAATCGGGCAGTGGCCCTAATGGGCCCCGTCTGTGATGGTCTAACGCCTCGTTGAAGTGGGGAAATTAACGTTAAGAACTATTTACACTACACTCACTGATTGAAAATTCAAACATCGAGAAAGGACCTACCCCAATAACATTGCAAGAGATGGACGGTAGGAGTGACTTAGTAGAACTATTTAGATAAGTAGGTATCTAAACTACCTATAGGCTTTGTCGCGGAGAAAGTAACGGGTTACCGGGGCTCCGGCTCAACGTGCAGGAGTAGGAACGGGGTGGTTTTTAGTCAGTAAGAGTCTGACACTCCCTCCCGCCTCACTTAGGCAGAAGCGGTCATTCGATGATTTTCCCCTCTTAAAAAAAAACCCATCAGTTTTACTCGGGTAGGTACTGATACAGCTCTTATTGCTGTTTCCATGCTGTATGTAATTATTTGTTCAGTGTTGTGGGGTCCAAATAATGGATTCATCTTATAAAATATTTGCTATTCATCTCGTGCCAAACCCTGATTAGCTCATCGTGATCGTGGTAGCCGTGCGACGCTATCACGTCCTCGTAGGCGTCGGGTGAGAAATCTTTCTTGTAGAAATAGAAGTGTGGGCAATGCTCTGGCGTGATGCCCACCTTCTTCGCCACTATGCCCAGGTAGATGTCGTCGAAACGGAAGTGCTTCACAAACAAACTGCCAATGTACATGACCCGCAAAGCTTTGTTGGATAGGACGTAGGCTCCAGCCGTCACATAGTCCGGCCATCTGTCCCAGCGGTACTCCTCCAATGACACACGCCACTTGCTGAATCTAAACCGCTGCGGAGCCGAGTGGAACACGTATCCAGTGAACAACAAGTCTTCCTGCAGCTTGCTAGACGTGTCGGGCCGATCGGGGAGGTGGTCCAGCAGTTTGTTCACGGAGATGTACATGTCGTCGTCTGTAAACAGGTAGTAGTCGGCGTGCGAGCAGTGCTCGTATACCCAGCGGAACGACATCATCGTCTTGATGGTGTTGTTGTAGTAGTAGTCGATGAAGTCCATCTGAATGATGTCGTGGAAGTCTGCCATCTCCTGGTCTATTTGGCGCTGTACATCGGACTTGGGCTTTCCGTCGACTCCTAAGAAGAAAAGGATCTTCACAGTACGTTCTGGTATATCCTCATTGCCGTATGTTTTTCTGATGGTGTCTCTGTGGCCGAAGTGAGGCATCGCCGATTTGACCACGATCATTAAGTCTATCTTCTCGATATTGGTACATTTCCCGGAGTTGCTGAGGAAATTGTAAGGGTAATGATTGATAGGGCGAACTGTGAAATTTTGATATCTTAACACGTCGTCCACTAGGTCTCTGATATTTACATCGAGTGGATAATGGAAATCGGTTTCGAAGCTTGATGCATGTAAATAGTCGCCTATTCCTAAATAATTGTACAAATACCACGCCACAAACACACACACTATATATTTTAAATACTTTCTTTTCATTTTCACTTTCTTAGACACTTTCTGTAACGATGATTTATTTCGCATTTCCATAAAAAAATGTTAGTCGACAACGTTCCTACGCTGCGTGTTTAGTCGAAATATGTATTTTTATGAATAACTGATAAAGATTATCAACTGCTGATAGGTATAATCTCTCTATAGCCAAGTCAGCACGGATAAAAAAGACTTGTGCCCCAAAAAAGTGTTGAAACAATATTTTTAACATTTTTAGTATATTTCTGTTAATAGGTTTCAAGTTGTCTGTGAAATGAAATGTTCTATAACCCCAATAAATGATCCTATGAATACAAATTACAAGTCAGTCAGTGTAGCTTGAATTTTTCATTATAACAATCAGTCATTGTCAGTAGACAAAGTTTAGACATTTCCGTATCTCGAACAGACTGACTTCTGTGTTCCCTTGTCGAGTTGCATTACTCTCGCTCAGATTTGACATTGAGGGGTCCCGATATTATCTTTTGCGGTCTTACTGATAGTGATAAAAAGTTAACCATATATTGTCTCAAAACATTTCATTTATTTATTGGTGTCAAAAATCAAGTACATACCTACTAAAAATGTATTCTTCTGTGGATGTGGAATGCTTGGTTCGAAGTAAATCGACTACCTACTCCCCTATAAAATTGCTAATTTGGGGATTAACAACTTGTAATTTGGAACCTACAGATCAGTTACTTATGGTGGTTTGACATTCCGTACTAAATTATATACCATCTGAACGAATTTACAAGTCTGTTCACCACGCTTGCTCAATGCAGGTTGGCGATGTCAAACTTATAATTAGAAATTTTAATCCCAGGTTTCCTTACGATGTTTTCCTTCACAGTTTGTCAGTGTTGTCTAAATAATCTTAGAAAGTAGGTACATATAACTCGGATAAAGTCACATTGGTACTAGTTGGTAGGTTTCGAACTGGCACCCTCATGCATGAGAAGCGGGCGTCTTAAACCTCCACGGCACCACGACATTTTACACCCAAAGATTAATGAAAGATTTTTCACGACTATAAAAACTATAAAAATGTGTAGATGTACGGAGGTAGGTACTACATTATCGCAAATAAAATAAATATAACTTTAATTAAAGACTTTTATTTCTACAAATATATCATTTTTGGAAAATATAAGGGGAGTATACATTACCCGGTTTCACCTTCGTATTTACAGTATCTTACGAAGTGAAATATGTACTTTTAATTATACATTGTCTATGTACTTAGTTACTAACTATCCTATATATATACTTTTTATGAAATAGCTGAACCGCGTCATTTTTGTTAATTTGGGAATGTCGGATGCATTTGGTTGTGACAGTTCCAGAGCAGTTGAAAAATCAAAATTTGGAAATTTTTCCAGTTACTTTTATCACCATAAATGTAGTTGGAGAAATTCATCAAAAGCTCTTGCCCAGAAGGTTGTGTAAGATAGTAAGTATCTAAATACCGATAATTGCACACTATCACATAAGCATTGTTTTCTAAATTATATTACAGAAGAGCGCATAAAATATATTGTACCTCCTCGACTACAACACTAGACAACTAGAAATATTTACTACAAAAGTACAACATCCCAACTTAGGTATTGTCTGTGGAAGCCAGTGTTATTGGTATAAAGTATAAACTTAAAGTTAGAATAGAAAAAAGTTGTTGATTGTGACATATTTTGAGATTCTACTTTACTAGGTTTTTTCCTAACCTTTCGCCCAATTACACAGTTACGGTTTCCTAACCTATGTAGAGTCGGCAGTCGGCACTGAGTCTTATCCAGATTCGGGCTGTATTTCTTTAAACTAACTTTGAGATCCAACCCCCTACAAAATATTTACGATTGCGGTCAGCATCATCTAGCTTCAATTCAATTGAGCATTCAAGATACAATGACAAATAGAAAGCTATAGGAATAAAATAAATTAAAATATTTTTCAACAGAACATAATATGTCTTTCGTGGATATCATCCAAAATGGAAAAATGCCTATGACAATCTAGATTGCAGTAGGTACTTGTACAGTCTTTTATTCACTTGCAATTCATCTCGTGCCAGACCCTGATGAGTTCATCGTGATCATGGTAACCGTGCGACGCTATCACGTCCTCATAGGCGTCGAGGGAGAACTTTTTCTTGTGGAAATAGAAGTGTGGGCAATGCTCTGGCGTGATGCCCACCTTCTTTGCCACTATGCCCAGGTAGATGTCGTCGAAACGGAAGTGCTTCACAAACAGACTACCAATGTACATGACACGCATAGCCTTATTGGATAAGACATAAGCGGCTGCTGTCACGTAGTCCGGCCATCTGTCCCAGCGGTACTCCTCCAATGACACACGCCACTTGCTGAATCTAAACCGCTGCGGAGCCGAGTGGAACACGTATCCGGTGAACAACAAGTCTCCCTGCAGCGCGCTAGACGCATCGAGCCGGTCGTGGAGGTACCCCAGCAAGTTGTTCACGGAGATGTACATGTCGTCGTCTGTAAACAGGTAGTAATCGGCGTGCGAGCAGTGTTCGTATACCCAGCGGAACGACATCATCGTCTTGATGGTGTTGTTGTAGTAGTAGTCGATGAAGTCCATCTGAATGATGTCGTGGAAGTCTGCCATCTCCTGGTCTATTTGGCGCTGCACGTCGGACTTGGGCTTTCCGTCGACTCCTAAGAAGAATAGGATCTTCACAGTACGTCCTGGTATATCCTCATTGCCGTATGTTTTTCTGATGGTGTCTCTGTGGCCAAAGTGATCCATCGCCGATTTGACCACGATCATTAAGTCTATCTTCTCGATATTGGTACATTTCCCGGAGTTGCTGAGGAAACTGTAAGGGTAGTAGTTGATAGGAGTTACCGAGAGCTTCTGGTTACTTAACACTTCATTCACTAGGTCTTTGATATTCACATCGAGTGGATAGTGGAAATCGTTTTCGAAGCTTGATGCATGTAAGTAGTCACCGATTCCAAAATAATCGTACGTACACCACAGCACAATCGCACACACTACACATTTTAAAAAGTTCCTTTTCTTTTTCAAATATTTAGATAATTGTCTGAGATTCATTGTTGAGAGATTCCGTATCTATTGAGATTATTTGAGATTCAAGTCGGGAGCCACCTGAAACTAAAGATTTTATTATAGGTACACTACGTCTTTGTGCCTGCAACTAGAAATATTACGAAGCATACTAAACTTAATTAACTGTGTCGTTAATTAACTTTGTTATCAGAGTGGGCTGTGTTTAGCAAAGGTTTATTTCTTATTATCTCAGAGGTAATTGATAACAGAATCACGGCAGATCAAGGCGACGAAAAATGAACCTTTTTGCCCGGTAATAAAAGTGTCTTTACTGGAAACATCTTGTATTAGATTTTTAGTTATCAACAAAATATGTAGGTTTTCGATTTGTAGTCCTGTTACCAGAAGTAAACTTCATTTCTTGTGATCTGTTTGCATAAGACAGAGTACTTAGCTGTCATCCGATGCATTTTCAACTGTAATAGATATTTATGTAAGTAAGTAAGTAAAGTAAGTAAATCATTTATTTGCGTAAAACATGGTATACATTGGTGTTAATATTATTACAATAGCTCAACATGTTTCGCTAAGATAAAACATAGCAAAAGTTTGTTATTTTGACAGAAGTGAGCAGGTAATTAACATTTCACATTCATAAAATCACATAAACTATAAAAATTACATTCATTGAGCCACTTGTATAATTCGATCTTAAGTCTCCTTGTGTTCATTACTTTAAAGCGACTTGGTAACTTGTTATAAATACTTGGCAAGTCTTGGCAAATCACTTAATACCAGTTTATGAGGGTCTCGTCTGTTTCTAGGATTAATATAATGTGCTGATTCAAATAATCATTATGCAATGTTATATATTAATACACAATAATATAATTAATACACAATAATAAAATATAATTAATATTAATACATATTATAATATGTTTTTCATTATGCAATTCTGAATCTGATAGCATAACTCAAATTAAAAAACTTGTAGAATTTCTCGATCAGTATTAGATATTTAGTATAAAGTATGTTGGTAACATCATATTATTATCAAAGCATTATTTAGTTTATTATACATATTACCTTATTCATCAAGCTGTTTTCTAATACTTTTATGTACACATAGAGAGTAGATTTGTCGTATAATAAAATAAGCCCATAAATTAATGGAATTTATTTAAAATATAAATGCTCACTTAATCATAAGTGTAATAATTAATAATACAATTTGCGGTTTGGCCGAATTTAAAACATACGTAACTATAACTATATCGCTTTGTATTGTATGTGCTTTTGACAAGAATCATCGCGACAGCTGCGTGGCGACATCAACTCATCTAAAACATAATAATTACTTTATTTTTTTTTAATAGTTATATTTACTTAATTGTAACAAGAAGAAAACTGCTATTTATTGAATTTTTACCAATCTTATGCAATCGTTTATCATCTTCAAAACACAGAATATAAAGCATAAAGCATCCCATAACAAAAAAGAAAATATTTTATACATCAATAATAATATATATTAAAGAAGGGCCAAATTAAAAGTGCCCTTAACCGACGAGCATGCATGAAAAGATTGATGACTGTTGATGAAGCGGAAGAAGTAATAATAATAATTGGTGTTCCATAGTCTCAGCCTACCCACATGGGAGATAGGCGTGAAGATATGTATGAATGTATCAATAAGAATGAATTGGTGAAATACATATGTATATGCACATCTACAAAATAGTATTCTTTGTACTTCATTTTGCATTGCATAATGTGAAAAGGAAGAAATATTTAATAGATAAGAAATATTAGATCCTCACCATTTACAGAGAAGTATCCACTGTAGAGCTGATAGACACAGGGGGTAGGTAGTGGTTTCTGATCTGAGTGTGCAGACGTGACACCTCACTGTCCAGAGCCTCCATCTCACGAACCAGCTGCGTGAACTGAACTATACCTGCAGATATTGTCAAAAATGGTAAAATTGTTTTTGAACATTAGCATCGAAAACTTGCTGCTAAAAGTACTCGCAAAAACTAAGTCTGCCTTTGTGTTGTCTGTTGCATGTAAAGTATTAAAAAAAGTATTTTGCATAATAGTACCTATCTATATAAATATGTAAATGTTTAAATCATTTTAACAAACATCTTTAGTTCACAATATATTTTATTTCATAATCACCTTCTCGGGAGTTGGGAAAGCCATGACGTTTAATAGTTTCCATTTCAATTTGAACAACCATTGGGAACACAATCTGCATCATTTTCAGCATCTCATTGCCAGCCGCTTCTTTAGCTTCATCCAACTTGGAGGCATAGTCAGGGGACTCCAAGGCCTCAATGACTTCACTCAGGATCAACCTAACCTGGTCCACCGTGACATTCTGTGGCGTTGCCATCCTGTTCTATGGACCATTGAGAAAACTGAAAAATGGGAAAATAATTTACTTTTTAATGGAATAAACAACTTTGTTGAAGAAATGAACATTTTGTACTATTTAAAGACAGGCAAGTCTAATAAATAATAAGTTATGATAAAGTAGTAATTTGTACCTAATGCCACATTAAACTGTCTAACACCAAGCGGTCACCGGTGACCGCAACCTATTGTTCTATAATGACGTACTCGATGAGTTAAATTGTGTTGTTTGCCTAAAACAAAACTTTGTCATCAGGTAATAGAAAGAATATTTCTTTGCCAGAGTCTGTTTCTATGGAACACCAATTGCTACAATACAATTCTGTCTTTCCAGGAGGGTATAACCTGGGTGTCTACTAGGGACGAGGCATTGTAGGCTGCTGCCTGCAATGATGCATCATTGCTTAGGTAATAGGTACCACCAGGCGAAATATAGCCCAAACGTCGACTCACCAAATATACATTAACTCGTCGAGTACCGGTTTTGTAGACACAATTATAGAACAATAGGTTGCGGTCACCGGTGATCGCTTGGTGTTTGACAGTTTAAATAAAAAAATATCTGTTATCAATAAAATATACAAATAAGACGAACTACAAAAGAAAGAAAGATGTCAGAGATCCTTAGAATTTACACCTCAAGCAATGAGTTTAATAAGTATAGGGGAACTCAAGTTGTATTAGACAAAACGGATGAGTCACTTATGCCAAGAAGGGTAGCGTTTTATTTATAGAACATGACATGGAGTCAGTATAACAACATAGGTACATACATTTACACAAAAAAGTCTCACCTTAATCAAAGCAATGCGGACCGTACACGAGCTTAAGATGTTACTTTCTATCAAAACTATGACTCGTAAGAACACTATCTTTATTTGATATCAAGTATAAGGGACACTAAATATTATTTTTAATGGATATTTTTGCCTATTAGGAATCTTTTAGGAGTCAAAATTAAGCAAACAAATCTGCCTAACCGAAACTGAACCACAACTAAACTGAAATCGAGTCGACTCTCGACTGGTTTGTCGATTTTGAGTTTGACAGATTGAGATTGCAGATTGACATTTTGACATTCACATCGTTTGACGGCCAAGGACCACAAGCAATTTTGCATTGCAATCTCGGAACAATAACTAAAGCATGGAAGCCAGGCTAAAATAACAACTACACTCCATATATTCATCTTTTTTTTACTTATGGTATTGATAGTGTATAGGAAAGAGATATGTATATTGTTTCGTTTCGTTATTATGCAGGTTGTCACTACTTGTAAATATGCTAGTGATGGGAATAAATTAATATATTTTATCGATAAATTATGGTACCTGAAAGTTTTGCTGCTGTGGTCTAACGTACATTAGGTTCTTAATCTGGATATCGTGGGTTCAAAAATAAAACACAATATTAAAAAGATAATTTAATTGCTCACAAACAAAGCATATTTACAAACCGTGGTAGTGGTGCACTATTATGTGTTTATCATTGACTTTTAAATATTCTTTTAAATAGTCTTTGTTAAAATGTATCCTAAGTTTAAAATATTTTTGTGCTATGGACTTTATAAGCTTTCTGTGATCAACAACTTATTGCACCGACCACGCTCTCACTGCATCACCTAAAGGTTAGCTAGTAAGAATGCCCATGGCATTAAGCCCGCCTATGTACTTTTGTTGCATAAAGTTAAATAAATAAAAATAAAATAAAACATAGAAAGATTGTTCTAATGAATAATCTTTTTTTCTCGAAAATTTTCTGACGGCAACACATTTGCTGAAACCTAAATTACTATTTTAGCCTGGCTTCCATGCCTAGTTATTGTTCCGAGATTGCAATTTTGTCTTATATTTGTAGTCAGTAGTCAACTCATGAGCGTGAATCTATTTTTGATTATTCTTCTTAGTCTAAGCTATTTATTCAAACTGTAATTAAATATAACATTATGATTACATACAAACAACTCAAAATTAACTCGTCGAGCACCATCATTATAGACACAATTAAAGAACAATAGGTTGCGGTCACCGGTGACCGTTTGGCGTTTGACAGTTTAATTAAAACAAAGAAAGCAAATAAAAAAAAGAAACGACGAAATTCCGTCAGTTAAATGCACTGATATTTATAAATCTATGGTTAAATGTCTTCTTCGTATATCTTTGATTTTGATTGCAGATTATAAATTGCAAATTGCACGCCTTCGAATAATATGACAGCTGACAGCTGATGGGTCATTGACTTTATTCATAGTTTTTTCATTTTCAAAATATACGAGTAATCTCATTTATAGGTACAGATATTTTATGTAATGAATGACTATTTACTAAAATAGTTGGTACTGATTAACCTTATTTTCCGTATTGTGTTATGAATTTGTGATATAAGTAGTGTGAGTGAACTGTTTATCTTTCTGATTAATTTGTTATTGTTTCGGAACGCCCGGATGTGGTTGTGTACTGACAGTAATTTTACCACATATTAGAGGTAGGTATGATACATATGAAATTTTTGATATTTCTATTTTCTTAGTACTTATTTAATGAAGGCAGCAAGTCCATAAGTCCACTTGTATGAGTCATGTACCACCAAATGGAATGTAATTAGAAACAAATCCTAGTTTAACCTTTTAATGTTATATAAATAAGTGATGACTCCAAATGATTAACATTTCAATTTAATAATTAAACAAAATCAAACCATAAAACTTCCTTTATTGTCATCAAACAAACTTTTTGGATATTCCTAAGCCCCCATTTACTAACTCTGGTTAAGTTTCTATTAGCTGAACCAACACATCACTACATAGTATAAAACAAAGTTGCTTTCTCTATCCCTATGTCCCTTTGTATGCTTAAATCTTTGAAACTATGCAACGGATTTTGATGTGGTTTTTTTTTAATAGAGTGATTCAAGAGGAAGGTTTATATGTATAATACATGCATATTGCACCCATGCGAAGTCTGGGCAGGTCGCTAGTTTAAACTGTCAAACACCAAGCGGTCACCGGTGACCGCAACCTATTGTTCTATAATTGTGTCTACAAAACCGGTACTCGACGAGTTAATATGACATGTCTTATTATATATATACAAGGTCACTATCCAAAACTTTAGATTATGGTTCTAGTAATAATATGCAAAGTATTGTTGGACTGCCCTTTTTTACCATTTTTCCTATTTACACCAAAGATCTTATCATGACTTCATTATCTCAATCTGTTGCTATTAAATAGTTAATATAATACATAGATAAGGAAGTAGGATTAGTAGGACTGACTTTGTTTGTGTTTCCATTGTAGGGTCAGTGGGTAGCCTTAGGGGCGCTATGGTGTGAGGACTTAGAAAATTTTTCATCAAATATGAGAATTCTTATAAGCGGCTGGATTTTCATTTCTATCTTTTAGTATACCTAAAGATAAGGTAAATATTATCTGGGTTCCGGTCAGGTTCGCCTGTAAATGAGCTCTAAATGTCAGATGACGGAAACCGCTTTTCAGCACTCGGCGGCCGAAAAAGATCGAAATGAAATACCAGCCGCTTATAAGAATTCTCATATTTGATGAAAAATGTTCTCAGTCCTCGCGCCATAGCGCCCCTAAGGCTACACTCTAACCCATTGTAGTTATTAAAGTCATAGTGTAGACTGTACGGTAACATTACTATGTTCTTTCTTGACCTGATTATTTAATTTTTTTAATAGTGATAGCTATATTTTTTTTTTTTCACCTGAAAATAGAATAGTATTGTTTATGAAAAAGTGGGTATGACATTTATAGAATTTCACCTGTACCAAAATATTTTTTGGTTTTGTGTGTACCTATTTTTCATGGTGGAAATTTTCGCTTTTTAATATAATTCTTGTGCTCAAATATTTCATGAGAAGTAATTAAAATTGAATAGAATTTCACTATGTACTGAATTATTTAAGAAAAAATAGTGTGGGAAATCACATTATGCTTCTATTTACCCATTATTGTTTCAATATTATAACTTTGTGTGAGATTTTTCCTCAAGTTATTATTATACACAAAACAAACTCAATTATAAGAATTTTACATAGTACATACATAGTATATCTGTATTATCTGTGTACTGTACAGTCTGTATTTTTGTTGTGATATTTAGGGGACAAAAACAGATTTTCTATGTAATAAAAATTTATGCTATTTCGATAAAACACTATTTCTATTTGGCTGATCTGCCTGCCACTGTTAAGGTAAAATTTTAAGCACCTCTAAACTCCTGAGCAATGGAGTTTCGAGTTAAATTGTCCATGGTCAAGCATTAGCAACAGTTTATTATGCCATAAGCTTGTAAGCAACCAGACAGATCTCCTAATGGTATGGTAAGCACCGGTTTTCTGTGATGCCATGGTATCACTCTGGTCAAGCTGGCCTATCCATGCCAAAGCATGGCTCTCCCACACTTAAACTTTGATGTTTGACATTACGTTACATATGATTATGTTAAATATTTAAATATTTGCTGTGTAATTTTACAGATATTGAAAATATGGAGGATGAAATAGAAGAGGTTGAGGCTCGCCCGCCGAGTGCGCGCCGTAACTTGACGCTAAGGAACAATGCGGCTAGGCAGGTCGCCGTCAACTTCATGCCGTCACGACAACTGCCCTACAGTAAGTTTACGGCACAAAATCTACGTTAAAGTCACGTACTGGCACAAGATAGCACTACTGTTTAGTATATTACTAATCGAATAAACTATATTTGATCTTTTCATTATAATCCAACGAGAAGCGAAATGTCTTTAATAAACTTTAAAGCTTCACGCCTTTCCTTTTAGAAGGAAAATAGAATAAGTTCTAAACTAAAACTTAAAGGCGCCTGCAGCTCGATGGGCGTCATTCAATTATCATTTAATAAGGGTTTATTAACTCAGATATGTGTTACAAACGATGATAATTGCTAACGACCGCTAATTATCATAAACGTCGGTTTTCACTGCAGTGTAACAGTCACGA